CAAGAACCTGAATTCTGAATAATTTTTGATATCTGCATTGGTGATGCAGGATTTGGGCACATTCTAGATGTGGTCTGCCTATACCTTCTTGCTAGGGTTGAGAGGGAGTCACTTGCCTAGTTTTTGGCCCCATGGTCCAATGTCACTTGCCTAGTTTTTGTTCCTCATAAATGACTAGACTCATATTACCCATTCCTACTCCAAAACCTTCAGCCACTGCACCAAATTGGCTCTCATGATACTCTGAAGAAATGATCATGAATCCTGCATCTACTACAGGTAGTCCTTGACATAGGATCACAATTAGGACTGGAGCTTTTATCACTAAGTAATATTGTTAAATGATTTGTGCCCAGTTTTATAACCTTTTTGTGGTAGTTAATATCTGCAGTCATTAAGTGAATCACATGGCTGTTGAGCAAATCTGCTTTCCCCCATTGATGCTGTTTGTTAAAAGCTGTTCGGGGAAGTCAATGATGATCATATGTCCCAGGACACTGCAACTGTTGTAAACACATGCCAGCTGCCAAATGCCCAAATTTTGATATGAAATGGTGGGAATTGTTGAAAGCGTTAGGACCATTTGTAAGTGACTTTTTTCAGTGCTGTTTTAAATTCAGATGGCCAGTGAACAAATGGACATATGTCAAGAATGATCTGTGGTAGAACCATTTCCCAGAAACTTCCTCGGGCTGCCTAGTCTCCATCCCTTTCCTGAAGTCACCCAAAGTTTCCATATCTGTTTTAAGGAAATCAAATTCTTTACCTGTTGACAAGATGGAGCAGAAGAGACAAAAGACAAGAAGAATTCCAGCTGCCCTCATGTTGGTAGAAGTCAACTCCCCTGCCTTTTCTGAAGCCATCTACTGCTCAGTTTTGCAACTGGGGAAATGTTTTTAAAGAATTAGCTGGAGGAGGTTGAATGTAGGGACTCAAATGATTGGCTGGCTGAGATAGAAAACTCAGGGAGGGCAGAAGCCCAATTCCATTAGAAAAGATAGTGTTGTTGTTTTTTTTAGAAAATATACACAAAATAAACTTTTTGCTTGGCAGTGAAATGGAGATGTGAATTCTTGTTTTTCTTAGTGGCTTAGTCTAGCTTCTAGAGCTGATTTTATATCCTACTATAATTCTCCATCTCTGATTTGTATCCTTTGCCCCTCTTGACTGTGTTTCACCTTAATTCCTACATTCATTTATTTGGATTGTTTTGGACCTTTTCCTGATCCTACAGTTGTGCATAATATAACAGTCAGTACTTTGTTATATATTAGTGATAAGTCTCCGAACACTTCAGAGATGTCACTACTAATAAAAGACAAAGTCATGCCAATGATCAGTGTCACCTTTATATGTTTTGCTATCCTAGCATTCATGTTCAAGGCTCCTGCTATAATCTGGTTTACTAAGCAGGTCTTCCCTGTTGTTGTTTTTCTGCTGGGAACCTTTGGAAGGGTGGGAGGTGAGATCAGCTTGTGGAAATGGAAGGCAAATTGAGACTAAGGGAGAGATTCACCCTCTCATACCTGTAACATTGTATTCTGGAGGATGGGCGTAATAATGGAGACGAGACATCGAATAGTGACTCCAACTCTTTATTAGTGACTTCAGAACAGAGCGAAATAAGCCTGGCAGCAGCAGCTGCTTTTATAGAGCTGGCTGCTGTCAAAGCGTCCAAGGACAATGATTTAAGCTTGCCGCGATTGGACACTCCACAACACGCACCCTTTTTGGGAGAAAAGTTCTGTTTGTCTGTTCTTGAAGGGTTTAAAAGTGTCGTTGGGTTCGATTTCTGGCCATCCCCTCTCCACCCAGCTGAGGACCCGTGCCAAACAAGAGTCCTTTTTTGTTTCCAATGCAATATCTTGTGCAGTTAGTGGAGGTGAGGGAAGCATCTCGATTTGTAGTGTGGATAGTGTGGGAGCCGGGTCGTCTAGGAACTCAGGTAGCGGAGAACGGCTTAAAGCGTCAGCATGGGGAATGGTTTTCCCTGGTCGATGTCTCAACTGGTAGTCGTAGGCGGCTAAGAACTCCGACCATCGTGTCATCCTTGGAGATAGAATGTGGGGAGTTGGTTTGTCCCCTGCCAAGATGCCAAGTAATGGCTTATGATCTGTGATGATGGAAAAGGATCTTCCATACACGTATTCGTGGAACCTTTTAATCGCAGATACAATAGCGAGGGCTTCTTTATCTAAGTGACTATAGTTTCTCTCAGTTTTAGACAAAGTTCTTGAAAAGAATGCAATAGGCGCCTTTGTACCGTTTGGTAGGACGTGGCTCAGGATAGCTCCTACCCCAAAAGGTGAGGCGTCACAAGTCACAGTCAATGGTAGTGTCTCGTTATATTGGATTAACACTGCATCTGATGTTAAAAGGTCTTTTACTTGTTGGAAAGCCTGCTCCTCTCGACGTCCCCAAAACCAGGAAGCCTTCTTGTCGAGGAGCCTATGCAGGGGTTCAGCAACAGTCGCCTTCTGGGGTAGGAAGATGTTATAAAAGTTAATGAGTCCCAGGAAGGCTTGGAGGTCTGTTTTGTTCTTTGGTCTTGGGGCATTTTTAATGGCAGCCAATTTCTTTTCAGTAGGGTGAATTCCCTGTTTGTCAAGAAGGTAACCAAGAAATTCAACCCTCTCAGTGCATAACTGGCACTTTTCCTTCTTAACCTTGAGGCCTGCGTCTTTGAACCTTTGTAGGACAGTTCTCAGGCATTTTTCTAACTGACTTCTTGTAGGGGCGGCTATCAATACATCATCGAAGTAGGGCACAACCCCTTTTATGCCCTGCAGCAACCTTTCCATCAAGCTTTGAAAAATGCCAGGTGCTACGCTTACTCCGAACTGGAGTCTATTACATTTGAACGCACCCCTGTGCGTGACTATGGTTTGGGCTTCTGCGGTTTCTGCATCTACTGGCAGCTGTTGATACGCTTGGGCCAGGTCAAGCTTCGTGAATACCTTTTCGCCCCCAAGCGAGTGAAGAAGGTGTTGAACCACGGGCACTGGATAGGCGCTCTGCTGTAACGCGTGGTTTAGGGTGGCCTTGTAATCCCCACAGATTCTCAAGGGTCCGTCAGGTTTTATGGGGGTTACAATTGGGGTCTCCCATCAGGCGTGGTCGATGGGTTCTAACATGCCTTGTGCTATTAATTTGTCCAATTGCTCGTCAATTTTTGGTTTGAGAGCAAAGGGAACTTGGCGTGGCTTTAGGCAAATGGGTGCGATATCAGGGCAGAGATTAAATGAGATGGGGGACCCTTTGTACTTGCCTAATTGCTCAGTGAAGACTTCTTGAAAGTCCTGGATGAGGGCTGCCTCCCAGTCTTCGTCTACAGTCTGGTTGATGCCTGCCATTTCGATTCCTAATGGCGCGAACCACTGCAACCCCAATAAGCTGGGCCGGTCTCTGTCAACGATGGTGAGAGGTAGTATTGCAGTGTGGTCCTTAAATGAGACCTGGACGTGACTGGAACCAGCAACCGGGATTCGATTGCCCTGGTAGTCCTTTAATATAATTCTCTGAGTGCTGAGATCCTGGCGACGGATGTCAGGGATCAGCTGCTTGAGGGTTTTCCAGGAGACCATGGATAGGGAAGACCCAGAGTCGACTTCCATGATGCACGGCTGATTTTCAATGGTGACCTTTACCCGGATTTTTCTTGCGTCCAATGATGAAGCGTGGCCGATGGTGATGGTCTGATGTGCCTCTTCCCGTCTGGTTGTGCCAGCAAACATTCGGTTTTTGTTGTACTGGCTCCACTGGTTGTTTGGGCGGTCCCGGTTTGTTGGTGGGGTGCCGGAAACTATTTTCTTTCCTCTTGGGGCTGGATCCTCATTTGTTCCTACACACTTTAGCAATGTGGCCCCTTTTATCACAGGAACGACAGATGGCGTCTAAGAACCTGCAGTCTGATCGTGGGTGGTTTCCCCCGCATCCGGCGCATTGGAAATTGGATTTACGGCCCCGCTGGTCTCGCTGCTCGCGCTCTGACCTGAGTCTGTTGACTTCTTCCTCCTCACTATCCGATGAGGACTCGATGTCTTCATGGTGGGCGGCTGTTGTGTGTCTCTCTGAGGATATTGCTGTGTCGCTGGTGGGTTGGTGGTTTGCCCCATTCGCTCGGCGCATTCAGGCTGCTGACTTGCGGGTAGCTTCCGCTGCAGTGGCATCTGCTATGGCATCTGCGAGGGTGATGTCTCCCTTTGCCATAATTTTGCTTTGGACAGTGGGGTCTCTTAGACCTAGGACAATCTGATCTCTCATGGCTTCTTCTAGATTTACGAAGCCACATAGTCCACCCAAATTCCTTAGGTCAGCTACAAAGTCCCCGACATTCTCACCTTTGCGTTGGTCCCTCTGGTAAAATTCGTGTCTTCTAATGAGGGTTGGAACTGCTGGAACGTAATGGGCCCGAAGGATGGGAGCAAGGGTATCCCAGTCCATCGTTTTGACTTCAGCCGGTTTTGCAAGTGCCTTTGCCATTCTGAAAACGGCGGGTCCGCAATGCGTTAGGAAAACCACACGTTTCTTGCTAGGTGTAGCATCCTTCAGATTATTAGATTCCAGGAACATTTGAAACCTGTCCATATACGAGTCCCAATCTTCGCTGGCTGGGTCAAACGGGGCGGGTGGTATAGCGCTGCTGGCCATTCTGCCGATATCTGTGCGCTTCAGCCACGTGCTCTGTCAATATTCTGCGAGTGCTCAGTCAGCTCTATCGTCTCCGCATCCCATCCTCGTCGCCAGTGTTGTATTCTGGAGGATGGGCGTAATAACAGAGACGAGACATCGAATAGTGACTCCAGCTCTTTATTAGTGACTTCAGAACAGAGCGAAATAAGCCTGGCAGCAGCAGCTGCTTTTATAGAGCTGGCTGCTGTCAAAGCGTCCAATGACAATGATTTAAGCTTGCCGCGCTTGGAGTGTCCAATCGCGGCAGCCCGTTAACTAGCCAATCGGATCAGCCCGGAACGACCAATCACGACCCGCTGTTTACGGACCAATCAAGTATGCAGGATTACGAGCCTGCTGTGGATGGACCAATCAAGTTTGCAGGCTTACGAGCCTGCTAGTTCGGAACAAACATATTAATATGAAACTGGATCTTCCCAACTTCTGGTACTTATGCCGTAGATCAGTGTTGTGAAGAAGCCATGTGGATGCTGGCTGAGGCCATTTATCTACGTACAAGAACCTGAATTCTGAATGTCTATGAGTTCTGAATTATTGTTGATATCAGCTTTTACTCTTGATTCCTGGTGATGCAGGATTTGGGCATATGCTAGATGTGATGTGCCAATAACTTCTTCTTGGGGCTGAGAGAGAGTTACCTACCTACTTTTTGGCCCAATGGTCAAATGTCTCTTGACTAGTTTTTGTTCCGCATCGATGACGAGACTCATGTCGCCCATTCCTACTCCAAAACCTTCAGCCACTACACCAAGTTGACTCTCATGATATCCTGAAGAGATGATCATTAATCCTACATCTATTACAGGTAGTCCTTGACGTAGGAGAACAATTGGAACTGGAGCTTTTATCGCTAAGTAATATTGTTAAGTGAGTTGTGCCCAGTTTTACAACCTTTTCGCAGTAGTTGATAACCTCCGTTTTAAGAAAATTAAATTCTTTACCTGTTGACAAGATGGAGCAGAAGAGACAGAAGACAAGAAGAATTCTAGCCGCCCTCATGTTGGTAGAAGTCAACTCTGCTGTCTTTCCTGAAGCCACCTATTGCTCTGCTTTGCAACTGGGGAAATGTTTTTAAAGAATTAGCTGGAGGAGGTTGAATGTAGGGTCCCAAATGATTGCCCGGCCGAGATAGCAAACTCAGGCAGAGCAGAAGCCAAATTTTGTTAGGAAAGATCGTGGTTTTCTTAGAAAATATACACAAAATAAACTTTGATGTGCAGTCAAATGGGGATGTGATTTCTTGTTTACTTCATGTCTACATCTTATTCTGCCTTTTTTTAGGGGCTTAATCTAGCTTCCAAAGCTGATTTTATTTCCTACTATAATTCTCTTGATTCCTGGTGATGCAGGATTTGGGCACATCCTAGATGTTGTATGCCAATACCTTCCTCCTAGGGTTGAGAGAGAGTCACTTGCCTAGTTTTTGTTCCTCATGAATGAGTAGACTCATATTGCCCATTCCTGCTCCAAAACCTTCAGGCACTGCACCACTGAACCGGTGTGAATCAGCTGAATCCCACCACTGGTCATCAGTCTCGAGTCCCTTTGTACCCACAACAGATCTAAGTTCAAGCCCACTTGAATTCCATGGATTCTTATCCAGGGGCAGGCTTCAAAAATGTCAGCAACCGATTCTCCGCCTGGTTGCTGGGTGGGCATGACAATGGTGGGTGTGGCCTAGTTGGCCCCCTGCACTATGGTGGGGGAGAGGCACTTTTGCCCTCCCCAGGCTCTGGAGGCTTTCTTCAAGCCTTCTGGAGGGCAAAAGTGGCCTCCCCGGTCTCTGGAGGCACTGGAGGCCAGAAATGAACCCATTTCCGGCCTTCTGGAGCCTCCATGAGGCCCATTTTCCACCCTTCTTGAACCTCCATGAGGGCCCTGCACTTACCTGGCATCCAAAATGGGCTGCATGCCGACTCCTGGGAGTGGTGGAGTGGTGTGGGCAGGGCCAGCCAGGGGTGGGATTTACTGGTTCGCCAAACCGATAATTAAAAATGATAAAATTAGTTACCAGTTCACTCAAACCATGGAGAACTGACAGCAGCCCATTCCTGCTCTTATCTACCACCTATTTGCTTTGACCGTTACTAGTTCAGATTCTTGTAGAGAGCATAAGCTTTCAATAAACATTTTTATATTTATTTGGGCTTCTGATTTTCCCATGCTTGACATGCTTTCTCAGGCTACAGTTCTAGCTCGGACTTATATTTCTCTTATCTGACCCTTGTCTTGCTATGGCTGTTCCTCTTGTTCATCCAGCTTATTCCTTCTGTCGATCACATCTCTAGACACAGTACATATCTTAGGATGTTGGAGAACTCTGCCATAGTTGTGTTTTTTTTGTTTTTGCTTTGCAATGGAAGATTTGTGACTAGAGTGCATTTTCATATTGCTCTGAATGTTTACATAATGGGAAGACATTGTTCCCTTGGCCTGTTTACTAGCTGCAGTGGAATGCTTTTCTCTGGATGAAGATTTTGCAAAAACACACTTGGTTGGTAAATTTGCTTGAAAAATATTAGGAGTGTCAGTTGGATGGGCTAGAAAAGTCAAGATGGAGGACAGACATGATTCTAACCCCAGGACTTCAATTGCACTTTCGTTTTCTCCACATGTTTCTCTGATTAAAATCCATGATATATCAATCCATTGGGTTTAAGTTTCTCATGATAGGCCACTGAAAACACCAACCCAAAATTAGCAAACATTTTCATGGACACCATCCCATATTAAATCTCAAGATCTTTTGCATGTTGGCTTCCAGAATTCCCAGCCAGGACAGGATATAGACTCAAGTATCTAAAGGCAGAGCTGGACTTTCTGATTATCCCAGCAACAAAGCAGACTTCCCTCCCAACTGCTTTAGTTGAAGAAGAGATGACACTTCATCCCATCTGCTCCACCCACTGTGGTTGTTAAGTGAATCACATGGTCACTCAGCGAATCCCGTTTTCACTATCAATTGCCTGTGGTGGCTGGCCTGGAAGGTCTCCATTCATGATGACATGAGTCAGAATGCAGCAATCATTGTAAATACATTTATTTATTTTATTTATTTATTTTGTCAAGCAATTATAAAATAACAGGTATAAGTTTAAATATAGTTATGAATACATGAAATGGATACATACCGTGTTTCTCATATAAGGCCGGGTCTTTTTTTTTTTTTTTTTTTGAGCCCTGAAAAAATGGATAGACTGTCTTTTCGGGGGTGACTTAATTCCCCCCCCCCTTTCATCTTTGGGTGGGTGGGTGGCGACGGCTTGGAGGTTGACCTCAGCGTTGGTGGGGCACTTCGTATCGGGGTCA